CTGCGCGGCCCGCGGGTGCCCACCAAGGCCCCCGAGGCCGTGGGCACGCGACGCTCCGTGCGACACGGGCCTACGCCCCCGGGCCCTCCCGGTCCGGCGCCCGCACCCGGCCCGCCCGGCCCGCCCGGGGCTGCACCCGTACGACGCAAAACTCGCAGTGCTGGTGAGTCCCTTATCAATACAGAGACCAACACGTTGGCACGTTAGGCTACTTCGTACAGTACTGAGCTGGTATGTTTGTGTGTGCAGTGGGCGAGGGCGCGGGTGCGGCGGCGGGCGTGCGGCGGCGGCGCAGCTCCAAAGACAAGTGACGGCGGCGCCGCGCGGAGTCTCGCGAGCCCCGCGAGCCCCGCCAGCCGCGCGAGCCCCGCGAGCCCCGCGAGGCGTGCGAGTACGGGGCGAGTGAGGCGTGAGCCCCGCGCTAGGTAACGCTGTCTCTGTCTCCGCACGACACTGCGCACCGAACTACACTAGTACGACTTGTGACGGTCCCTACGACTACATGAACACAGAGCGTTGTCAGAAGCCATGTGGCGGGTCGCGCCCGCCTTTGTAAAACTATTCAATCTTTATTTTATACCAGTTTGGGTCACGATCATAGATATGTATTTAAAATTAACTAAATTGTAAAATACGTTGAGAGTTAAAAATTAATCCGAAATGATTTGCACTAATCCGCGATTGGTAATTGTTCATTTTAATGAATCTCAATTAATTAAATCAATTGTGAATTAACACCAAAGTGTGAGGAGTAGTAAGATTGCAATACTAACGTTTGAGGAGTAGTGTGTTGACGAGTTAACATGAAATGTTTGTAGATGTGTATGTATCGAGTCGGATGTGTCGGCGGCCGCTCTTTGTTACTGCTTCGTACAAGCGGCGACCACGGAACTTGACGAAAATGATCATCTAATATTAATAAATGGTCAAAATATGAATTAATAATTTTATACCAATAATAATGTTAAAAATATATTATGGAAACTAGATAAATCTGGTGAATTTTATTTATTTATTCAAATTGTATTGTACACTCGAATACAATAAATGAAAATGTGTTTATGAATACATTAAATGACTGAGTGGTCGTCGCTTGTACAAAACTGTTCTATTCCAATTGGTCGGGAATAGAAATGGATTTAGCTAAATTGATTTTAGAATAGTTGATTTTTATCCTCACATGTACATTAATGCGTCTACGATAAAACATACTATATCTAAAACAGTAGTAGGTAAATAAATGGGTGCGACAAGTAAATATTAATATCAATTGATTGGCATGCTTAAATATTATAATCTATACAGTCCATAACTTACACAACGACGAAATCTATTCTAAAATTAATTCTTCCTAAATCCGTCCTGCAATCCTAATCTATTGATATTTATCGATTGCGATACGTTGAATCGATTACGCCGGACCCAATCAAATGCCAACAGTCACACTGTTGGCATCATTTATTTTTAGTGAACAAATGTTACCATTTCACTATAAAACACTCGACTTTTTGTTCTTTTAAGTGTAAGTTTATTTCTATCAAGTAATTTTAAGCGTGTTCGTCTATAAGTGTGGAAGCTAACGTGCTCGTTTTAACACTGCGATTAGCCGATTGTATCAATTAAAACAAAGTTGTAGTTATACAGAATTTAGTAACCATAGGTACATATAGTGATGTTGACGAATCGACTAATGACAATGGTAAAACAGCGTGCGCGGGAACTTGAAACGTTGCCACCAGCAAGACTCCGTGGAGTTTGCGCCGTGGAGAGCCTTAGTTTACTAGTGAATAGATGTGTATCATTATTGTACAAAATGCACTCGACGTATAGGCACATTGTTATAATAGTATAAATACCCGAGAGATATAAAGAGAATGAAATAAATGCATAAAGTTAAATATTTTCATACGTTTTTGCACGTAACTTCGTGACGTCGATCGGTGACGTGAACGCAACGTTGTAGTTTTTATTATGTTTTGGCGGGAGCACGGCGTATTTTATTTGTAATATAATATGAAAATTCGACCAAGTGACATCGGTGTTCGGCGTATATTTGAAATAGCTGAGTATATCGGTGGTAGGTTCAATTTGAAGCGGCGCCGTGCTCCCGCACAAAACGCTGGCCGCTATTACGACGTAACGTTAGCGTTTTTATATTTAAGAGAATTCACGACCAATAATTGTAATTAAATGTGGAACTTGATAATTTCTTAGTGAATGAGATAATAATCGCGACTGAATGTTTTAACAGTTTGTCTGTTCGGGCTTCCAGTAAAACTAAAATTTTATTTTGACGCCCCATTTATTTCGTTTTCCTTCCATTGTCGACCCGTATTCCCACCATTAATTGAAATAATTTGAATCCCAAGATTTTACACCAAACCCATAGATAATGTACCAGTGAATCTTAGCTTGTACTACGCACTAAGCATAGTTGGTTATCGAATGAATTTAGTTATCTAATATAGACGCTAGTGTTTCTTTATCACTGTTTTTGAACACTTGAGTATAGGAATGTGGTGTTTCGGATTGGCTCGCCTTAATGTTCATCATTTATAATAAATAATATTAATAATTGGTTGTAACTAAATTGAACCTTGCAATATACAATTTGAGGACAAAATCATAATAATGTAATAAATTAGTGAAAAAACTTAAATTAAATGGTGGACAAGACGACATGGGGTGTCCTACAGATTATCGTTATATTGTAATCGAGTAATATCGGTCGGTAATAAATTGATTGTGAGATCGACAACATCTGTAGGCATCTGTGGTTCGGTAGACTTGTTTCGTTCCTGTGTATAGGGATACAACCCAAGAGCAATAATATTTGGATGTGACCTTTATTTAAAGCACAGTTTTAGACAGCTTTTACACTGTTAGCTTAGATCGCCGTACATTACAGTATTTGTATAATTTGTCCCGAAGTCATTGTTTGTTCCCCTCTCCCTCTTTCGAAGATGTTCAATGTTAGTCGGACAGTGATAGTGCTATAATACATAACGTGTATAGTACGTACGTAGTATATAATGAGAAAATATTTTAATAATTAGTAATGAATTTATTGCCTGAATAAATTGTGCCCTATAACTGTGTGCCGTGGTATTGTGTCCGTTAAACAATTAGTGTATAGAGATGCGGCTAGTCTGTCGGCGTCGGACGGTGGGAGTGTTTTGTAACAAACCTTTGTTTTTCTTAAATTATTCATTACTAAATCGGTCCGGCCGATGTACAATCTCTTGTAAATGTTTATGTATAGATGGGGATATTAATATATGTTACGTTTTAAGTACTTGTTTTCTTTTAAAATCATATTTAGTTTGGGGAGTGGCGTGTAAATAGACGTGGAGACTAGCGAATCGCTCCTCGGACGGAGCGAGTCCTGTAGACATGCAAAAAGCCTTATACTGTAATATAAAAGTATGACTTGCAAGCTTGTACCATATAATTATAGTGAATGAACTCTCAACTAGCTGTGTATATTGGGTGTATAGTTATCATTTTAGTTTATTTTGTTTTGTTTTTATTTTCGACTAATGATAGTAATTTATGCCGATAAATAAATATCTATATTGTACGTTTATATATCTACAATGAAGAAAGAGAAATACAAATAGTTTTAATAACACTTATAAATATAGTTTAGGGGTTACACCACGAGAGTAGGTTATAGTTTTGTTTACATTCTATGGAACTTGTAAATACATGCAGAAATAGTAAAATGAAAGAATTGATACAATAAAGTTAACTTTATGTTATTTGTAATATTTTTTCTAGTTCGCGTTGGGCGGCAAGCGCCGCGGGGAATCAATTTAGGTCAATGATAAACGATGCCTGTAATTATTTTTCGTTGCTGGCAATTTTATGAAGTTCACTTTTATATTGTGCATTATTTTCTCTTGTAAGTTGCTTTCACTGTCGTTTCTAGATTATTTTTAAAAATCATATAATTATTATATTGATAAAAGTACGATGAGTCAAGCTGATTTATCAACATATTATAACGATTGAAGAAATTATATTGATATAAAGTACGATTGAGTCATGCTGATTTATCATATTATTACGAATGGAGAAATAAGGAATATTATTGTTCTGCTATTATTAAATTTGTAAAGTTAGTTTATTAATAAATGAATAAAAAATATTTTGTGGTTTTAATTTGACTATCTTTTTATTTCCCACAACACCTACCCTAAACCTACCCTGCAGATTCGACGCCGATAATGGCCTAATGTACAAACATTTTAAAATTATTTGTAAATTATAAAGCGTACTTTGTATCGACTCGCAAATAAATGAGATATAGAAGTAAACTCGCTATCATCCTTACTAATATGTATTATAAATTGGAAAGTGAGTTTGTTTGTTTGTTCCGCTATCACGCCGTAACTTATTAACCGATAGCTTTGAATTTTTGGAGACATAAAGTTAGAAGTCTGGATTAAATAACTTTTTATCCCGGAAAAATTGATATTCCCGACGGAAAACAAAAGTATTGGTATAGATGGCGCTGTGTGTATTGGTATATGTCACATAGGCTACTTGTTATCCTTTTGTGACGCGAGCGAAGCCGCAGGTAAAAGCTAGTTATTAATAAGTTAATAAATTAATAATAAATAGAGATAACTCCTGGTAATATAATAGAGATAACTCCGGACACATATAGCAAGGATTGAAAAGATCCAAAAGAGACTTGTACGACACCTAGCCTGCAGGTTCAAACTTCGTAACTGTAGAACTTACGAGGACAAAATTAATCATTTTAAAATGACTTCATTAGAGTCTCGACGCACAGTCCTGGATCTCACATTTTTATATAAGTTACTTAATAATGGTATCGACTGCCCCGACCTTCTTAATAGTATACAAATAAGCGTACCCACCAGAATCCCACGCCACCCCCGCCCATTGCTTGTAACCCCGCGATGCCGTACTAACCTAGGTAAGCATTCACCTGTTGCTCGAATGGTTTACAAGTACAATACCATATCAGGTACCTCGGAGGACGTGGACATCTTCTCTAATTCTTTGGGAAAATTTAAATCTTTAATCTTTACTTCTTTAACAACTGACTGAAAGACAATGTGTGTTGATTAGCCAGCTTCAATCAATTTGATTTAATTAGCAAATCACAAATTACAGATTAAAGTCATGGTATCAGTGTTCATTTGTTATATCTATATCTATATTTAGTTTTTCTTGTGCAGTCTATTCTAGCATAATTACATTTAAATTATATTTAAGTTATTTCATATAGTTTAGGCAAGCGAAGACATTTCATATTGTTATTCTAACTATTGACATTAATTAGTGAGTGGGTATTTTTGATCTCATTAGATTAGATGTGATTATTTGATTATTTGATGTCTAATATTGGAACTTTTAATTACCTTTAGGATTATATACAAGGATTATTTCATTTAATTTCTAATTTTAAATAGACCTTATTTTATGAATTGTTCATCCAAAATTGTTTATGTTTAATAATTTTTTTTTTATTTGACTTGTTTTGCATTATGTTATGATATGGATTTTTGATATTGCATTTCTTTTGTATTTTCTTGACATTTCTGTAATTTAATTTAATCTAATTTCATTCAATTGCTATAAATGTTTGTATGGGCATGATGTGATTCCCTTTAATTGAAGGATCACAAGGTTATTGTAACGTGTGGTGGATTATTTTTTTTTGCATGTAAGTGTATCTTTTGTTGGGAGTCCAAATAAATAAAACATAAAACATAAAACATAATTTAACAAATATGACATCTAAATTGTTTTTTCTCATCTGGCAAGACAGATCTTTTTTCAGACTACTTTCTTGCCTTGATAATTATATAAAGTAGTAGGCAATACATAGGAACTTAGATTTTTAACATTAGTTAAACATGAGTTTAACATTAGTTGCATAGATAAAATA